TGGGCCTACGAAGTTGAAGTGTTAATCGCCAAATCAAATAAATGCATAACAAATCCTCAAAGGGCTATATTACCTTTTCAATAATCTCGGTCTGTTCTTGACGAGCCTTCGCCAGTTCGGCTCGAAGATCATTGATCTCCCCCTCTTTTTTGACATAGAGGATCTTAAGGCCGTCCCTCTCTTCCGAGAGATTCTTGAGCTCGGCCTCACATCGAGCAAGCTCGGATCGAGACTTGGAAAACTCTTATCGATGGAGCTCACCGCCTTCACAAAAGGAAAAAGTTAGACTCAGAACAACAAGGATAAAGCACAGGCGTAATTTTAAGGACAAGAACTTACTTGTTTAAAAAGCCTTTGGGCCTCATAAAAAATAAACGAGGCATCAGGATTCTGGACCATAATCGATCCCCGCAAGGCACTCCCGAAAAATGTCACTCCCTTCATGGGTTGTTCCCACATCAGGAGTCCTCATGGCCTGGACATCTCGGAATTGCCCTTCGGAGAACACCGGGCCCGGTGGAGAATCATCTACATTGATTACCCCAAGTGATTCACTTGGGATATTATCCTGTCTTTGAAGGGCCTCGTAATTAGGCTCTTCGAGCCCGCCCACCAAGTGTCCCCCGGGACAAGGCACACTTTTTTCGCCTGATGGCTCGAGGACTTTTCTTGAGCTCCCCTCCGAAATTTTCTTCAGTTCGAGATTGAACTGCGTCTGCCACCACCGGTTCAGTGGCCTTCGAAGCATCAGTGCTTCCTCTTTTCCGAGCTACCAATAGGCAGTCGTCGTCTTCTACCTCTCCGTACTCATCCTGAAGACGTTGGGTCGTTCTTGGAGATAAGGCCACGGTATCGGCCTTGGGCTTTCGAGCCTTGCTCTTCTTTGGCTTCGGGGAATTTACAGGCGACTCCCTCTTCCTTTTCTTTTCCTTGGTGGGCTTTGAGATTTCTTCTTTACCAGGCGGGGGCGGCCGTATAGCAACGGCGTCTACGAGGCCTGCATAAAGATAAAGTAAGTATTTCACTAAGAAACATAAGAATGCAAACAAGAGAACTCACTATGGTTTTTATCCTCCCATCGACCCTTCCGCATATGAAGAAGTAGAGGCCAGTTGCCGAACCCAGCCTGCGAGGTCCGGGACCACACCAGGAAACCAAGCAACAGCTGCATCATCAGAAAGAGATTAGATCGAGAAAAGGATGAGATCGAGAAAAAGTAGGGAAAGCAGAACATTAAGTCACAATCGATAAGCCTATACTTACGTTTCATGTTCCATTTCTCGGGGAATGGCATCCTTTCAGCGGGAATCAGGTCGGAGGTCCTGATTCGGACAAACCGGCTCATCCATCCTCGGTCTTTGTCCTCATCGATGATAGAGAAGAGAGATTTCGTGGATCGGCGTTGCAGCTTTATCAGGCCACCTCAATAAAGGCGAGGGCTGTATAGCTTGATCAGGTGGTCGAGGGTAAAAGGCATCCCCTCGACTAGGCTCGAGAAGTATCTGATCAGATTGACGATGCGCCAGAATGAAGGGTAGATCTGGCCAAGCGTCACCTGGTATTGTTGGCAAAAATCAAGAATAACTTGATCTATGGGACCAGAGCTGGATCTGCAGGATCCAACGTGAATGGGTAGGTATACACGCTTAAGTACCCTGCCTTATGAGTAGTGATGTCCTCTTCAGGGGAAAGGATCATCACATCTTTGTTCTCCCAATCGCAGTCCTTTTTTACCTGCTCAAGCTCACTTTCGGTTATCAAGAAGATGTATAGGGACATGGGCTTACATCGGCCTGGTGTCGATACAGGTTTATCGATTTTGAAATCGAATGTTAGTTCGCACAGCGGGGGAATACGCTCCTCGATACGAGGTGGCACCACCATTCTACTTCTGGTCGGCCACGATTATGAAGAGGCTTTTTCTTTTTGGGGAACAGTTGTGTATGTTTTAGCCATTGTGGTTTAGAAATTCAAGAAAAGATAAAAAGTTGATGCCGAAGTAAAAACAAATTGAGAGAAGGGTGAACTTAGAGAAGTTGAAGGAGCTAATAAGATTTTAAGGATGATTTGAGAAGTAAAGTTTGCAAAAATTGTAAAGTTAGCATATTTATTGAGGCCGCTTAAGCGTGTTAAGGAAGCCAAATAGCCGACCATCAGTCGCCTCTAATTAATGACCTTGGGAACTACGCGGAAGCGACTTTTCAATCACTTGAGTCGCTGACATCACGAGATTGACATCAGGATCAAGGCGTCGGAGCATCGAAGATCAAATCGTTTCTTACCGTCTTACTCTAAGAAACGCGAGAACTATCTGTATACGGCCGAAATCAGGTATGCCCGATTTCCCGGGCTCGAGAGGTCGCGTTAAGCCCGAGTTCAGGATAGTTCGAGTTCAAGATCGATGGACCAGGCTCAAGCTCGATGACAGAGGACAAGGCTTGAAGAATTAAGTGTTCGAGGAACGTCGGAGCCTGATATTACTAGGCCTCGAGATAATGACGTTATGGATTTGTAACACAATGAGCAAGATTCCTGCCACGTCCCCAAAATCATGACGTAAATCCCGTAATAGATTTGTACGAATTCGTACTAGGCGGTTAGACAGATGTCCCAATAAGATTCTTTACTGTAAATAGAAATGCACCTTATTTAGGGTTCCCCTATTATATAAAGGGGACCCCAATCATTTGTAAACATCATCTAATCATTGGCAAAGAATATACTCTCTTACTTTTTCGCTCATTGTTCATCAGAACTGTCTTTTAGCTTTATTATTCTTTCTTTATCGTTCTTGAATCTTGATCCATCTTGAGGTTACTTTGGCTCGAGGTCGATACTGCCTAGCAACACTGGTTTGATTTACTCATTTCTTTCATTTATATGTTATACTTATTGATTATTAATCAGTGTTCATGTATCTTTAAGACTATAAATTAAATTTAATTATTATTTATATGTTCCAGTTAAACAACCATCTTTGATTTTAACATCTCAGCCACCACTGTCAGTTAGAAAAATAATCAGAGCACATTTCTCAAAGCATGGATATTTTGAAGATAAGTTATTTTCCAATTTAATGCCATCAAAATATACACATTATACCTACTTTTTCTTATTATTAGTTCAAATAATCCTAACTAGATTTTTAAGTTCGGATAAACCCGTAACTATGTGAAAGGTGCTAGCTCTATAAAAATCAATGACAAAAGCTGAATTGTTAAGGAATTTGACTATTTATTTTTATGTACTATCCAAATTAATCCTACTGCTGTCCGAGATTTGCAGTAGTTTTTGCTAGCATTTGGACATAGATTTAGTTGAAACTTGAAAATATAATTTTTGAAAAATAATTTTTGGAAGTTGAAATTATGCTTGGACATGCATTTTATTTGAAAAAAATTTGAAGTTTTGTGAGTGGGAGAACAAGTTTCACCCAAAATCTACCCTAAACTAGATTTTGCGAACTTGAAAAATAATTTCAGAAATTTTTCAAAAATTGATCATTAATTTATGAACAACAATGTTTTCACAAAAAATTTGAAAAAACGATGCCAAAATATATGGCCAAACGGGACCTTTAATTAATTTGTCCGCCAAAACATTTTCATAAGCAAAATATAAAAAGGAAAAAGCGCAGGGGTTTACGTGTGAAAAGGAAAATTTGGGCAGCAAAAAGTCAGTCAATCAGTCAAATGTCAATTTGAAAGGATTCGAAATGTACGAAAAAACCATAGGATTGTAGTTTAAACAAAGGAAACTCCTATGTACGTACCATTATTTTTTCAATTTTTTTTTTAATTTTAAAAATATTATTTGGTTATAAAAAGTGATCAGTATTTGGGCAGTTTTTGAAGATAAAAATTTTCAAGTTTCAAAAAGTAATTTAGATTAGTATTTGAAGTTTTCTAGTTATAAATCTTGTAACTTCTTTTCAATTAAATGCATGACCAAAACACAATTTTAATTTTCAAAAATTATTTTTAATTTCATTCTCAATAATTCTTTTTTTTTTTTTAAAGTTTCAACCAATTCTATGTGCAAACACTAGCTTAGACCATTGGCTAATCTTTTTGTATCTTGACGGTAAGATGAAAATTCATCCAACGATCAAGGTTTAAACTGTAAATTAAATAGTTAAGAAATTTCCCTTATTTAAAAAAAAAAATTAAATGTCCCTAGGATTCTTTTCTACTGACTTATTATGGAAATGAAATTTGACAGACCGAACCTGCGAATACCCTTTTCCCTATGTAATCACCATTTTAGAAATAACAATGGCTAAATATTTTGACTTTTAAAAAGTTTTATTGCCTTTATGGCTCCATGTCTTTCTCCAAATATTTAGAGCCCGTTTGGCCATGAAAAATATTTCACTTTTTTTGAATTTTTTTATTTTTTTTCAAAATTATTGTTTTGCCATTAAATTTTTAATTTTCACCTGAAAAAGAATTTTAGAATTTTCCAAAACTAAAAAAACTTCAAAAAAGCTATTTTTCCAAAAATTTCACTCAAAATACTCGCAAAAATGTAAAACAACCCAAAATTATATTCAAGTCAAACACAACTTTAATTTTCAAATGCCATTTTCATTTGAAAGTTTTTTTTTCACTTTCTTTTTTTTTTTTTGAAATTTTACAATTCTTATGTCCAAACGCCCACTTAGAGCCCATTTGGACATAAGAATTATTTCATTTTTACTCGAAATTTTTTTTTTCAAAATCAGTGTTTAGCCATAAACTTTCCAATTTTTATTTGAAGATAAATTTTGAATTTTTTTTGAAAATTGAAAAAACTCCAAAAAATTATATTTCAAAATTTTCACTTCAGTTCACTTACAAAAATTGAAAAACATCCCAAAATTGTATTTGTGTCTAAACTCTAAACACAACTCCAATTTTCATATATTATTTTTCGTTTGAATTTTTTTTTCTACTATTTTTTTCGGAATTTTACAATTCTTATGTCCAAACGCCCACTTAAAAGAGTTTCTTCTTTGCTCCTTATTTAAGTATTCTACCTTCCTCTTCTCTATAATTTTCTTCACTTCTCTCCACAAAATAAGAGAAAGAAAATAAAATGGTAGGAGAAAGTAGCAAAAAGAGGCCATTAGAGGAACCAAGTCACCAAAATCAACATTTAAACCTCAGAATTAAATCCCAGGTTCATTCATCATTTCACTTTCTGTATATATTATTCTTTTTTTTTTTTTGGTATTTTTTCAAACAGCAAAGAGTTTTTTTTTCTTTTTTAAACTTTGTTTGAAGAAGAACAAAAGAATAAACCAAATAAGAAAGCCATGTTTATTGTGAGAAATTTATTGATTTTTCTTTCCTGTTCTTTTTTTACTACTAACTTATATATATATATATATATATATATATATATATATATATATATATATATATGTGTGTGTGTGTGTGTGTGTGTGTGTGTGTGTGTGTGTGCGCGC